AATCCAAAACACGCCTGTAATCCCAGCACTCAAGAGGCTGAGACAGGATCCTAAACTCAAGGCTATTCTTGGCTGTATAATGAAGCTTTATCTTAAGAAACTTTAACAAATAATAAACAAATCATCGTGTCCTCAATGCATTCTAATCAAAGAGTGTCCTTCTCCACAAGCTTTAACATTCTGGAGTTTTTCTCTTACAGTAATTTTATTATCTTGATTAACTTGATATCAACAGTTCAGACCATGCTCTGAAATGTTTTGGAAAGTAGAAAATAATCTTATGAGAGACTACATAACAGCTTTTCCTCTACTGAATATATGATAAAGGCAATTCTTGTCTTGCACGTCTGTGATTAGATCCTTGTGACAGTTTAGTTGGTTTTACTTACCAGCATGTGTTTGTGCTGTTTCTTTGTAGAATTTCACTGGAAGTGACCACAGCCTCTTAGAAACAATACCAACCTGTCCCTCTTATTGACCACAAGAGTTCTTACACATTATAGTACTACTCCTTTTGTCAGGTTTCCCAGCCACAGCCCCTTACTGTTTTTAGTGATGCAGGGCATGTGTTTACTTTCTGTAGTGGTTGATACATTGTGTCAATTTTTTTTTTTTTTTTTTTGGCTTTTTTACCTGTACCGGGAATCGAACTCACAACCTTGCGCTTGCCAGGCAGACATTGTGCCACTGAGCTAAATCCTTAGCCCTTATGTTCTGTCAATTTGAGAAGATTAGAAGTTTAAGTGACTCAGCAGGGGGCCAGCGTCCTCACTTTGTAAACATCCTCATCCTGTGCAAGAGGAGGGTAAAGAGATGGTGTGAGTGCTCCCTCCGCCCTAGGGCTGGTAGCCTGCTTACAGTATAAGAGAGGAAGAGGGTCCCCCTCCCTTTGCGCTTGTTGCTTTTGCTGTCTTCTGCTGCCTTGGACTGCTGCCCCTGCGCCACGCCACCCCGCCTTGGAGCCAGCTGATTACAGACTGGAACATCCACAAACTGTGAGCTAAATAAACCTTTCCTTCCTTAATTTTGGGCATCAGGGTATTTTGTCTCAGCAATGAGAAAAGTAGCTAAGACACTTTCAAACATTAAAAGTGGATTAATTCTATTTACATTTTGCAAGACTTTTTCTTTTAGAATTTTACAATATCCTTTGAAATATTTTGAGATGCTGTAAGGTGTTGCAAACAGGTTAGAAAGCATTGATATATATATCCAAGATTCTACTTGGCAAATATACATTTTTTTCTGAACACATCCTAGGGTTGTTTTTCTAAAATGTTTGCATTAGTTTTGAAATTTTTTTATATCTGTTGACGTACACTTTGCTTCTCACATAATATGCAAATAAAATGTTCTAGTGTTCTTAATTCTCTATACGGGACATTCCTGGCCAACATATATGCCACTTTTACTTTTTAGTTTTGCCCTAATTAGGCTTGTCTTACACTGTATTATTTTCTGTTACCTTACATTATGTTACTCACCAGGGCCCTATTACTACCTGGTGAAAGATAATTGTCACAAAATGACTTGAGGCTTTGGGAGAACACCTAGGCACAAATCATCACAGGTCCCAAGCCACGAAACCAGAATTATTCAGAATGAGAACAGACACATTATGGAAGACTAAAAATTGACATACGATCATGTGGATATAGCCCCCAAATATTGGGGACATTATCCAAGAGTGGAAAATGTCATTGAATATCCACTGAAACCTTTATTTGAAAGAACACTTAACAAACTAATTTGGACTACAGGTTAAAAAATCTTTTGAACTTTTTTTCTGGCCACTAACATGCTCAGTGAAGTAACAACTGGGTGAGCAGAGGAGGTACAGAAGCAAACCGCGGATGGTGGCCACCCATGCTGGGCAGCGGTACACCACAGCATACTGGTCAATTTCAGGTGAGACGTCAAGAATCAGTAACAGATGAAGTAATGTGTGATGAGTAGTGAAGGGATTTGAGTCCTCAATTCTAAATGACAAGGATGATGACCTCAAAATATAAGTCTGTGGTGCTCGACCGAGTTTTTTTCTGCATGTATTTCTCTTTTTCAGGGGATTTTAAGAAGTTTAGCTTTAGAAAGTAGTATGAATTAGAGTTTTGGAAAAATGGAGCAGTTAAAAGCAACTTCATATGAAAAGTTCGATGATGATGTACAAGGGTGATCAAAATGCAGTGAATGTTTAAAGTTGTGAAAATTTATTACACTAAAAGGCACACTACTGTTACCCCCCCAAATACTCCTTTTTATTTCAAATATACTAATGCCATCATTCTTGCCACTTTCTGAAGCAATTCTTTTTTTTTTTTCTTTGTCTTTTTGAGACAGGATCTCATTCTACAGTTCAGACTGGCGTTGAGCTCACTTTGCGGCCCAGGCTGGTCTCAAACTCACAACAATCCTCCTGCCTCAGCCTCCTGAGTGCTGGGATTACAGGTGCGGGCCACCACACCCAGCTTTTCTAAAGCAATTCTGAAAGTCCACTTTTGTGTCTTTATCAGATACAAAAAAAAAAAAATTTGGTGGGTGCAGCTGCCAAGCACCCCCAACACTCTAGTTAGTTTTTAAACAATGTAAATACACCATCTTTTTTCCTCACACTTTGTGCTTATCGACATACATAACTTGCAAAACGGAGAGATCTTGGGATTGTGAAAAGTACTATGCAGAGAAGGAGATCATTTCCAATTTGTTTCATTAGTGGTTCTGTCCAGGCTTCCCTTTCTTTTATTTGGTGTGACCGTGCGTTCTGCCTTCCTGGAGAAGTAATAATGTGGTACACTGGGCCAGGGTCTATAAGCAAAAGTCTGAAGTGAGGGTGATCTGGGGAGATTCTGCTTTGTCAGGTGTGAGCGCAGCCCGCGTGCCCTAAGACGCTCTCATCTCTTCTTTCCAGCAGAGTACTGAAGCAGACTGGCTGCCGTGACTCTGTAGGACCTGATAACCTCAAGTGGCAGAGTCCCCGTGTGACTTAATTTATTCCATTCTCTTGAGCAGGACTGAATAAATCTGGAGTTAATATAGGTGCACCACTAAAAAGGGAAAATTAGATTGCACAAAATGCATTTTATCTGAAGTATAAATCATCTTCTAAGAATCTGGTGAAGTTAGAATAAAACATCAATAGTTAGCATCAATAGTTAGCATCAACTTGAGCGCTGCGCTCTGTGGCTTGACTGGAATTTACTGTTGGAAGCAACAAAGGTCTCAGCGAAAATGAGAGGAGGTGGAGCCAGCTCACTGAGAAGCTGACCGGGTTTTGACCCTCCACCACACAGTGAGCGATGGAGGTGTGACTGTCTCTATTTTGTTGCTGGAAGGAACGGAACTGAATAAGCTACTAAGTCTCATTTTCAGACTATGGATAAACCACTCAATATTGACAGGCATCAACTTACTACAGATTCAAGAATAGCAATATGAAAATTGAAAAGTAAGAACTTCAAGTTTTGGGAAGTACAAAGTAATATTCATATACATCATACTTATAGTCCTGGCTACTGAGGTCAGAGCGATTCCCACAACCTGGTATCCATGAAGGGGCTGTTCTTGTTTTCAAAGGCTTCATTACTGAAACCCTTTTGTATAGCTATATTGGCTGAGGCTGCACAGTCTGATTTTAGCTGAAGAAGGAGACAGTCAGTGTGATGACTTTACAGCTCATGCTGTAAAGACGCGGTGATGGGATTTATATGAGATAGAACTTTCATTAATGAGAAATAGGATGAAGATTGTTAAAACTGGTAAATGCAGTCTTCTCAATGGGCAAAATATTTTAACAATATGAAATCTTTGAAGAGCAAAGTGAAAAGCTTACAGTCTCAAACCTTGGAGCCAGATATGTTTTGGGATTGAGGAATTTCGGACATTTTAGAAAAGTGTTAGATCGTAGGTTACATAACCCTTTCTTCAGGCAGCGAGCTCTTGACCAGCAAGCACAGGTTTCTGTGGTGAAAAATGTGTGTGGTTGCACCGAGTGAGATTAAAGAAAGATTGAGAGAACTCAGGATGGTTCAGAGTGGGTTTTGTTACTAAATAACTTTGAAGTGAACTTAAAAAAAAAAAAACCCACAGGGCTTTTTGGATTTCTGAATGATGACTTACCTTGGTAAATATTTATGGAGCAATTACTATAGGCCAGCTTTAAGGCTGTGTCTTTTTCAATAGTCTTTGTAAATAACCCAGCAAGAAAGGAGCTGTTCTCCATCATTCACAAACAGGAAGCTAAGGCTCAGGTATGTCCGTGTTGTTGCCAGAGGCCAAATTGGTAAGACGTTTTGGTGATTATCTTCCCCTGTCACATTAGTGGTTTAGGAAAAGTTTCGAGAACCGAAGTAAGGTCTCTCTCCTCACTTCCCACAGGCCGCCTAACCATCACTTGCTAGCTAGTGACATCCCGATGGCATCCTGTGCTGAATGTCACAGCTAGATATTGAACTCACTGCTGAAAATCTCTACGTCATTGTCTCACTGACCCAGTGAGCTTCTCGTAGAACAAAATCGTCTTTCTCCGTAACCTTTCCCTTCCTTCCAGCAGTCTCTGTTTCACTACCTTCTTCCATGCCTTTCGGAACAAATCAGTGACCAAGGCCTGAGGGTGTGGGGCTAAATATCGGCACAGAGGAAACTGGGGGTTCTTAAGATTTAGTAATTCAATTTTCCCAATAAAAAATTCAGCCTTTGACTGTAAAGTCAAGGTTCTGACAAAAATGGAAATTCTCCCTACTTGCTCAATAATAAACTACCAGGTATTGAACCCCCAAGATTTCCTTCTTATTGTAGGTTGCTTTATATGCTGGTAAGTCTATTTTCTGTAATAGCTACTTTCTGGGCTACGTTTTGGGCATTTGGGTGCGTGCACTTTGGTTCTGAGTAGCAAAGTTGACAAGAAGCCTTCAGAGGACAATGCCTCCAGCAATGCGCCTGCTGGGAAGTTTTGTGGATGCAAAAAAAGTAAAGTAACAACCTTCTTCTCTTTTCTCTGTTGTTAGGTAAAAAGCCAAGCCTGAAAGTCCACATCAACACCACCAGCGACTCCATCCTCCTGAAGTTCCTGCGTCCAAATCCAAATGTAAAGCTTGAAGGTTTCCTCCTGGGCTACGGCAGCAATGTATCTCCGAACCAGTACTTCCCTCTTCCCACAGAGGGAAAATACGCTGAAGCTGTCGTTGGTAAGGCAACTGGGGTCCGGCTCTGAACAGGGAGGTGGAAGGCAGCGGGAGTAACGGACAAATGTTGAAGGCTACGACCATTTCTTCTATATCCTTGGTTGGACAAAATTTTAGTATTACAAATTCTTCATAATTGTTACAGCCCATAGAACAATTTTTAAATTAAAAAATGTTATTGCATGCAGAACTACTTATCTTCTTTGTCATTGTACCCACAATTCCCGCCCACACAACCTACCTCATAACAGAAGGCATTAACTGAAAAGCTTGCTCAAACCTCTGTTACACAGTTTTGTTAATGTGGACTAATTTTCCTTCTTGATGTCTTTATTTTCTTCACGCGGAAATACCACAGCTTTTTGGGTGTCTCTTCATGAGATGCTGCCTTTAAAATAAAAAGAAAATAGATTCTTAACATTTTATAATATTTCAGACAAGAGGGGCTGGGGATTTAGCTCAGCAGCACAGCGCCTGCCTGGCAAGCTCAAGGTCATGAGTTCGATTCCCAGGACCGGAAAAAAAAAAAAAATTCAGACAAGAAATGTCACCATCACTTTCTCATTGCTTGGATAAAATTCCCGAAACAAAATTTATAGGAGGAGAGGTTTGTCTTGGCTGACTGGCTCCCAGGTAGGAAGGGCATGGCGGGAGGGCCTGGCGGAGAGAGCGAGGCAGCTCCAGGCGTGCTGGCCAGGAAGCACAGAGTGGAAAGAGGAGGCAGAGAGGACAGACACCCTTCCAGTCACGCGGCCTGTGAGCTGCCTGTCCCGGCAGACCCGACCTCCTCACTGCACACTCGGTACGAGTTCACCAGTGGATTAGTGCAAGGATGAGCACAGCACTCCCGTGAGTCCACCACCCCCAGAGCCCTCTGCACCCGGGAGCACCTGGGGGACAGTCCGGATCTGCACCATAAGAATGGTAAAGCTCGTTATCAAACACCTGAGAGGTTAGGCATTTTGGAAAGATACAACACGTACAAAAACTGAATGTCACAAATACTCCTTACTATATTCACCCGCTACTATTGAAAAACGACGTTTACCCACAAAAATAGAAACAGATCTATTACCTCCTGCGCTGAACATTGCAAGTGTTGTTTTACTTCCGATAGATGTTGTTGGATTATCTAAGTTGAGAGTCTGGTCAACAGCAAACCCCTTCTCTATAGCAGATGAAAGGCATCCTGTTTTAAAGGGAGAGAAGTTAAATTATTTGTGAAAAGTATGTTCAGAAAACAAAAGGACGCTTTTAGCACAAATACCGTAAACTGTTTTGATTAAATTGACTAAGGGTCCTTTTATTTATTATTGTCTTTATCCTTTAAATTTTTTATTATGAGAAATTTCAGGCATACAAAATGGGGAATATCGTCTGAACCCTTGGTCTCACCATGCAGTTTGAATATGTGCCCTTGTCTTGCTAATACTATTCTGTGTTCTTTTGTATCTACAGCACAGTCCAAGATCATATTTTTTTCGGAAAATGTCTCAGTGTGGATCTCTAACAGATGATCATTATTGTAAATAATGCCTTGCCTTTATTATAACAGTAATTCCATAATATATTCTATCTACCGCTAAATTTCTCTGGTGGCCTTAAAACTGTCTTTTTAGGATTGGTTAATTTGAATCAGAATCTAAACCAGGTCTATATGTTATGTTTAATTATGCTCCTAATATTTTTTCTTCCCTTTTGAATTACCACTGATCTAGAGAAAATGGTTGATTTATTTACCTTGTTGTTTCATTCTGCGCTTATTAAAAAATCTGATTGCTCTATCTCTTGTATATTGTATGCAAAGTAATTAGATTTGGAACCTGTATTAGATTTGAATTCAAATGTTTTGGAGGTAAACATTACATTATAGATCGTACTATGTGTTTCCTTATGATAGAAATGGTGCTGTGTCTGCTGTCCCATTCATCGACCCTAGATGGTTTGGTGTATGAGTGTTTAGGTGGTTTTAGTCTGATTTGTCTATTACAAAATTCACCATGAAATTTTTCACCTAGTGGTTTTAGTGGTTTTCGATGATGATTGCTCAGGTCCAGTACTTTATGTGGGGGCCGTAAGACAGTACTTTCCTAGTTCTTCTATTTCCTTCTGGCTTCTTAAAAGGCTGATAATGGAGATTTTTGCCTCTTCTTTCATGTGATTTTAGATCTTCCTTACTTGTTTCTAGGAATGGTAGAATAACTGTCATTGCTAAAAGTCATTGGCCTGACAACCTCCGGCTGCATCCGGGGGATGAGAGCTGCTCTGCTGTCCCAGCAGCCCACTGGGATCATGAACTCAGCCCCAACAAAACATTAGAGGGACAAAGCTTAATGAAAGGAGGACACTGTCTTTGTAAGGAGGGAAAGGGAGCAGGACAAAGGAGAAGATGGCTGCCTTGACAGGAAGGAATCAGGGTAGAGAGCTCTGCAAAGGTGGAGGACCCATGGGCCCACTGTTCCCAGCTGATTTAGAGGGGATGAGAGACCCTTTCCCCCACCTGGAACTCGGCAGAACGGGATTGGCTTCCAGGCACCTCTGCCTGCCTACCGTCATTTCTCCTGGTGCGGTGTGCAGCTTCTTCCTGTCTGTTTACTTGTCCCTGACCTACCTTTTACGGCTTTATCTTTGAAGTGAGCGGCTAGTTAGTTACTTTACTCAGGGTTACCTTGGAGTTAGTAAGGGGGGTGTGGATGTCGATTATACTCTATAATCACCCTAGAGTGGGTAATACAGTGACATAGAGTGGATACACATGTATGTTAGTGCATAAGTGGGAATACGCATGTCTTAAGGTTAGGCCCCCCCCACCCTCTTTCCCTATATCTTATTAGAGCTGGAGGTGGCTTATCACCTGTACACTCGGCTTTTTCTCTGTGTCCTGCCTGTCAGCTTAACCATTAAACCATGTACTCTTCCCCCAGCACTGAAGATCGAACCTAGGGTCTTCACAGTGAGTTATGTCCCCAGCCTTCTTATTTGTTTATTTTTTATGTTGAGACAGAGTCTTGCTAGGTCACTACATTGCCCAGACTAGACTTGGATAACCCGCCCTCCTGCCTCAGGGTCTGAGAGTGCTGTGCACCACGCCTGACTTAAACTATGGACTTCTTAAAGATTCGTATCTTGTTTTTCCTTATTTGTATCACAGCGATTTACACTGAGTAGACAGGTACTGCCTGTTTGTGGCACTGAATGAAGCAGACTCAAGTCTATGAACTATTTAGGCTGGGCGAGGCAGATCATCAGGGTAGGTAACATACACAGGTTTTGGTGTAGTTTAAAGGAACCTGGAAACAAAGACTCCAGAGCTCCCAGGAGGCACTCCAAGTAACATTTTTAAAACTCTTACCTGTCCTTTAGATCATTGTGTTCTTTTTATCAATCCCCTTTCTCTTCTGCTGCTCCAGTGGAAGTAGAAAAATGTTCTTCTTATACATTTCCATTTTCATGTAGTTGTGCCGTGGAATCTGTGCATTTCTATTTTTATTACTTTTGTTCCAAGTTACATGTTAACTTTTTGTCACCCAAATAGATTATTTTCTTCTGTGATTGTGTTTATTCATTTCACTTAATTCATAAAACAGCAGTACATTGGCTTTCTGTTGCCGCTGTCACAAATTACCCGTAGACTCGGTAGCTGAAAGAAAACATTATGCGTTTTTTATCTTGCAGTCACAGGTTAGAAGTCCAACAAGGGCCTCAGGGAACTAAAAGCAGGTGTGAGCCAGTTGCTTTCCCTTGCAGTCTCTGAAAGGAAAGTCTGCTTGTTGTTGTTGTTTGTTTGTTGCCTTTTCCACCTTCCTCGAGCTGCCCTCCTTCCTCTTGACAACAGTGGGTCAAGCTCTTCGCAAAGCACAGCGCATCACCCTGGCCTCTTTTTTTCCTCCTCTTGTATTTCTCAGGACCCTTGTGTTTGCACTAAGGCCACTGGTTAACCCAGGACACTCTCTACTTAAAGGCCGGGTGATCAGCAACCGTAATTCCACGTACAACCTTCACCCATTTTTGTCGTAGAACCTCACACATTCACAGGCTTTGGGGCTTAGGGTGTGGGCAATTTTGAGGGGCCATTCTCTTGTCTGCCGCAGCTGTATGTTTGAAATTTGTGTCTCATTCTATTGCCTTTATACCACTAGATTACTCCCAGATCTTTTTCAGTTCTATTTGTTTCTAGCAGATCTGTTTTTCATAGATATGCTGTGGGCGGGTTAGTAAATTTATGATCTTAAAGTGAAGTGAAATCCCTTGTGTGAAAAGTGCTGTACCAGAGCAAAGAATTTTTATTTCTTCATGGAAAAAAAGCATCACTTAAAGCTCCTATTGTTTCCTGCTTTTGTAATAGGATAGTAGCAGCACACTGAACTATACCCAAACATACTAAATAAATTTCATTTTCAAAACAAATGTTGCATGCCACATCATCTGGCTGATTTTACTTTTTGAATAATTTTTTGAAAAATCGTATCTCATTTTACAACTGAAACAAGAAATTGTGATTACTCAGATATGTTCAAGTTATTATTTAGTGGTTTGAGCCTAATATTCCCACTAAATAATCATTGATAAGCATTGTATTTATTTTAATAGCTATCTATTAAGTACTTATAGACATGTTTAAGTCACTGGTCTTGTATACCAAAGTAAAGATTTTTTTTGCTGTTTTTGAAATGTGCTCACAGGAAATTTCGGTAAAAGTTGACGTAAGCGTTTAGAAGATTATTTGGAGTAAGGAAAAGCAGCGTCATCCTAGCTGGGTGGTGATAAACACTGAGGGCCACGGGAGCCCTGCAGTGATGTGAGAAAACAGACCCACGTCTGACAGATCCTCTAGGTTTCCACATCCTCCTTTCCTCACTCATGTCCCCTGTGTTCTCACTTTGGTTTTGCTTCTTTAGGGTCAGGGATATAGCTCAGTGGCACAGCGCCTGCCTGGCAAGCGCAAGGTTGTGAGTTCGATTCCTGCTACAAAAAAAATACTTCTTTTATGTTCATTTGCTGAC